AAAGATTGCATGAGGCATAAACAGAACCTCATCTCTGAGATTAAGGAGTAAATGGCTTCCTAATATTGCTCTCAAGTACAGAATTTTATCAGGAAATATCATCAACTTACTGAAATAAGACAAACAGGCTTTTGTTGCATGTTTGAGAATTGCAAAGATGTTTGAACATGGAATGATAGGTTGGCTGCAGCGCAGGAAGCCATTTAGCCCACAGTAATTGTGCTAACTTTCTCCTTCTCCAAGATCAATTCACCTGGTCACAGGACCCTACCTTTTCCCTGTTACCTTTCAAATATTTTCTCTTCAGATAATTGTCCAATTTTCTTTTGACAAATGGAGAACATGCACTGATATCAACAGGTGCTGATATTGACAACCTCAGCTCGATAGGATGATACTTCATTCTCAGCGTGGTTTCACTGAACATTCGAGACACTCACAGTTCAATAGCTCCATCTTCTGTTTCATCCAGGTTCGGCTAGTCTGTGACAGTGTGTTTTTACTGCTATCTTTCTTTCCACAGCTCTCAAAATGATAGAAAGTTAATTGTAAAAAATCAATGTTGAAAAACTAAATAATGTGTCAGTGATTGCATTGGAATAAATTACAATATTTATAGTCCATTATACATGTATTATATTATTACAAGGAACATGCAAACAGTCTGTAATAAAATAAATAGAATGCTGAATTACATCACTAGATAAACTAAGTACAAGCCAGAAGATATTATATGAAAATTGTACTGGACACTGGATTCAGTTTTGGTAATAAGGACATAAGAGAAACATTCAACTTCTAAAAACCATGAAAATAAGTATAATAAGGTTGGTCCTTAGCGTTAGAGAATTGATTCTGAGTAAAGTTTGGAGCGAGTGGGGCTTTTTACCCTACAATAAAAATGACTATGATGAAACCTCATAGAAGTATAAAATACATTAAATTTTACTTCAGGAAATGCAAATAGATATTAGAATAAGGGGCTATTTATTAAATATGGCAATGGGAAATAATCAAGAATGAAAAGTAACTTGGACCCTTCAATAAACAATAACATTGCAAACAGAGAATGCTGGAGAAACTCAGCTGGTCTGGCAGCATCTGTACAGAAAGAAACAGAGTTAACATTTTGAATCCAGTATAAAGAGTCATAGATGCTGCCATACATACATATACCATAGAATAGTACAGCACAAGTCCGTATCCGTCAATTTCCTGCCCAAAGGTAAGGTACAAAGTGATAAAGGTGCAGACATCTCCAAATTTAATTCCTGATCAGCATTGAATTAGACGAGCTGACAGGGCAGCAATAAAATCTCCTGTAAAATTCCAAATCTTTCCACTGAGTTTCTCCAGCATTCTCTGTGTTTGTTTCAGACTTCCAGCATCCATAGTATTTTGTTCTCATTGCAATAAATTACAATCTGCTGTGTGTTTTATTCTATGGATGAGCTTTTTTTTTATACTGGTGTTTCCACCATCTATACTTATCTTGTGACTTTGCCTATATTGCTGTGGTTAATTAAATCTCCATTTAATCCAGAGATGTTGCTCGTCATGTGCTTACATTTATTGCAAGAGTTTTTCATTGACATTCACTAGTTTTCTACATTAGGAACTGATTTTCACACCACCTAAGAGATTGCCATGTAATCACTGACAGGTGATAAACCACCATGTTGTCCCTAACTTTGAAATTACAACACATATCCATCCTGTTTTAACATAACAGTGGCTGTGAATGCTAGCAAACATCCATGGAACTCATTGAATATGGCATTCAATACTTCATCTCATTCACAATTAGACTCACTTTTTACGTCAATTAACATTTTGAAATATAATTTTCACTATAGTAGACATCTGATGTTGACTGTTCCCTTGTTTCCAAGATGGTTAGGTAATCCCACATTAGACCAAACGAAAAGGAACAGGAGTAAGCTGTTCGGCCCCTGGAGCCTGCTCCACCACTCAATAACATCATGGCTGATCTGACATTCTTCACGTCCATCTTCCTGTCCTTTCCCTGTAACCCTTGATTCCCTTACTGATCAAGAATCCATCTCCGCCTTGAAAATACACAATGTCTCTGCAACAAGGAGTTCTAAAGACTCTCAACCCTCAGAGAAGAAAGTCCTCCTTATTTCAATCTTAAATTGATGCCCCTTTATCTTGAGACTGTGCCCTCTGTTCTGAGGCTTCCCATGAGGGGAATCCTTCGCTTGTATTTACCCTGTCAAGCCCCTTAAGAATCCTATATGTTTCAACGAGATCACCTCTCATTCTTCTGAATTCCAATGAGTAGTGTCGCAACCTGAATAGCCTTTGCTCATAAGAAAATCTCTCCCTACCAGGGTCCACCCTAGTGAACCTTCTCTGAACTGCTTCCAATGAAATGATATCTTTCCTTAAACAAGGGGACCAAAATTGCTCACTGTACTCCAGATGTAGTCTCAAAAGTATCTTGTACAATTGCAGGAAGATTTCCCTACTCTTATACTCCAACCTCCTTAATTCCACCAGATGTTACGATCGGATTTGAACCCATATCCCCAGAGCATTAGTCTGGTCCTCAACATTACCACTACACCACATCTCTCCAAGACTTGCAGGATAATTTTGTTACATATTTTAATCAACCTGTTCAGGGATACTGTAATAGCCTAGTGCAGGTGGATCTTAAATCCAGGCCTCCTGGTTCAGAGGCAGGGGCACAACAGCCCATGCACTAGCTTCTATAATGGAGATCAAGCTTTGGTTTATTATGCCAAAATAAAAGCCTGTGTTCTCAGTCATAGCAGGAGCTTGTTCATCCAACTAACCAAATACCATTGAAGGAACTCTTAGAGGCTTTGAAGTTTCGTTTGCAGAATAGATTTCAATACAAAACACCCTGTTACTATGTAGTAATGTGCTATAGACAGTGAGGCAGAATACTAGTCCATGATTTGATTGCAGACACAGTGAACTCTTGATAAGGTGAGTCATTGTCAGGAATTTGCCAAGTGGGCAGGAGAATCTGCCATGCATGGAGAAAAGAATGGTCAGATCATGACCTATTCCCACATAATTCTCAATAATTAGTTATCAAAACAATCTAAGTAAAATCTATAACCAAGGAACACAAAATGTAACTTAGGATTGTTGAAAAATGGAGGGAACATTGCTGGCTAGTTCTCAATATTCCAGGAATACAGAGGATTAACTATCTAATGTCCTTCCTTCCTGCGCTTGGGAAATAGTAAGAGAAGGCCATTCAGCCCCACAAGCCTCTTCTGGTATATCTCCCTGCCCGGACAAACTATTTTGAAAATTTCATATGATAACCATTTGCCCACAAAATTCATGACTTCAAATTTGAATGTGTATATATCACTGATCACCTACATCATGCTGTGAATTCACAGGCCACAGCGGTAATTCTCCTCACTGTGAGATCTGCTCTGCAAGATGAACTTGATTGGAAAATGGGACTAAAACAGGGACTCCACCAGCAACTGACGCATGGTTTCAAACCTATGGTCACCACCTTATACTCTTACTTACCAGAACACCCTTAAACAGGTGGCATTCTTGTATTAATAACTAATGAACTGTGCAAGGTTTGGCTGTCTAGAATGCCCTGAAAGGAAGGAGGAAATCTTAAGGAAACAAGTTGCATTTAGAAAGGATATTTGGTGTAGTAAAATGGAAAAATGTGCTTTGCAGGTCCATTAACAAATAAAATTTGACACTAATCCCATAAGGAGATGTTAGGACATATGAGTAAAAGGGGTAGATTTAACAAATATTTTCAAGGAGGAAACAGAGGTGGAAATGTGGATGAGAATTTTAAAATTGAAGTACAGAGGCAAAGGATGAATATGACCTTGCACAAGTGAAGATGCAGAAAGCAGAACTTAGATGAACTCAAGTTTATGAAGGCTGAAAGACAAAAAGTCAGCCAGGAGAGCACGGAAATTTTCAAGCCTGGAGGTAACAAGGGCACAGATATATATTAAATATATTTCTTTTAAAACTCACAGTTTTACCTTTCTTCTTATATAAGGTTGGTTTGCTGTGCGCACTTCTAACACCTCACATGCTCAAGTACCTTGGCTAATTAACAATGTCCTTCATGCTTTAAATTAGAAAATCTCAGCAGACTTTTCCGGCTGATATGGGGGACAGTGAAGTTCAATTTTATTATCACAGAATATTCACAATTGTCTCTTTTCAGCATGGATTACTCAAAATAATCAAGATTTTGACTTTTTTTCCCTCTTAACTAGCCGAAGGCAGTGCAGTTGAGTAGAGTGCCTTCTCTTCCCCAAAAATATATTTATCAAATTCTGCTGTGCCCAACCAGTCCTGAAGAAGGGTAAAACCCGAAACGTTGACTTCGCTTTTCCTCCAGATGCTGCTTGGCTTGCTGTGTTCTTCCAGCCTCCTGTTTGTCTAATTCAGCACATGCTGGGATGAAACCAAGATCTCTTTGAGTCTGTATATTTTAGATCCACTCTGGCTAACATATTTAACAGCCACAATGAGGTAAAAGTAAGTAAAGAAATATTTCAAACCAAACTAGAAATCATATCTATTTGTACCAAGAGCCAGAGAAACCTACTGTAATTTTATAGGCATAAATGTCGCTGCATGGAGACAGTTAATATTTAAATGGTTGAAACCCAAAACTTTCCCCTTGTAAAGGATGAGCACCAAATAAGAAATAGATTTACCCACGAGGCAATATAAAATCACAAATTAGTTTAAAAGACTGCTGCCAATTGAGAAATAGACTGGGACGGATTTGGATTGTAATTAAAACAGAATGAAATAAAAGAGATTGGGATTGAATTAGGATAAAAATGGATTATGATCGGGACAGGCTGCGATTACATAGTGGATTCGTGCTGAAGGAGACAAGATTAAGGACTGAGGCAAGTTAAAGCTGTTTTTTTGTTTGGGGGCAGTTTAACTCCAGCAAAGGTTGAGATTGAGAATGGGATTAAAGGTCCTGGTTGGAGTAGGTTCCAGAACAGATTGATGGCTAGTTGAGTGGTTTGCTGAAGTTAGTCCCGGCGCTGCGGATACTGGGGGGTTGGAAGCCAAAGGCCACGGTTTCGCTGCTGCCGGGTTTTTTGGGAGGAAGCTTCACGCCGTAAGAGCGTGTGGGCGCCGGCAGCTTCAGGCCCCTGGGACCCGCCTCCCCAGCCCTGGCGCTAGTCACCTCCGGCGGGTGGTGCCGGCACGCAAGCCCGAGGCTTCAGACTTGGCTCTAGGCCCTACTTGAAAAGAATAAAACCGGCAGCGGGTACGTTTTGTTGCGTCAAAGGATATCACAATGTACCAGGACTGAGCTCAGCTTGTCCGACTTCACTCTATCACATCATGTAGTATAGTTGTTCAGCTTACCGTCAGCGCTCAATAAATATCTTCTATTTTCTCCTTTTCTCTCTTTTGCTGCTTCAGAACTTGGGGTTTTCTCCTTCACTTCGAGGGCAAGGCCAGAGTGCCCTTGGCTCTGGTTTCTTGTTTTCTTGCCTTCTTGCCCTCCACCCCAAGCCTTGCATCTTCTTCTCCAGTTGGATCCTGTCACTGTGGTGACACTCTGCCCTATGCCTATCTGATGATCCTGGTTCGCCCTCTGCAGCTTCCATGTGGTCCTAGCCGGCTTCTGAGCCATGTCCAAGAAGCAAGCGGTCAAAACCAGGACTAACAAGAAACTGGATTTGGAGCGGAAAAGAGACGAGAAGGCGGTGAGACGAGCCCTGGCTAAAGAGAGGAAGAACAGGCCCCAGGAGGGCTCAGAGGATGAAGAGTTTTTGAGCTTTGCCAACCAACTGCTGGCCATGGGACTCAAACTCAGGGAAGTTCCTGGTGATGGGTAAGAAACATGTTATTCACACAGTCATTGCCTAATGATTCTGCAGCATGAGACAGTTTTAATATTTTAAGATAAAACCTGTTGGTGATTGATGCTATACAATGTTTTGATTCTGTCATTAGTGTAATACATAACTTTGAATTTCCTTCTTCTAAAGAGTGGAGGAATTAAATTTTGTTTTTCATATGGCATCCTGCTCAGCAGATACCTCATGTTGAGCTGTAATTCTGCTTTTTCGCTAAAACTGCCAGAGAGTAAATTGGTCACCAGTGTTGCTGTGTGTGGAGACCATAATTATTCAGCAGTGAGGGATTGTCAGGTTTGAGGTTTAAAAACCCAGCTGCTACTGATGTCATTTGCAAATTCCATCATGGTGAAAAATCAGATCTAACTTTGTTTAACACGCTCAACTTGAATTGAAAATTCTTTGCTTCAAACCTGACGTTGGTGTGTATGCCCAAGCATTTGTTACAAATTTTATGTAGCATATAGACTAAGCGATCTTGCAGTCAGATACTTTCTGCCTTGTAATCTTCCCTCAAGCTGAAGTTATGGCCTTTACATTCTGATAAAGGATTACTGGATACGAAATGTTAACTCTGGCTTTCATGCCACGTTTTCTGCCAGATGTGCTGAGTTTCTCCAGCACTTTGTTTTTGTTTCATGGTTTCTATTCCTGGTTTCAGAAAAAATGTCTACTTTAAAAATGGTGTCCGGGTTATGAAATATTGAATGTACTGTTAGTTGGATGGACAGATTTCTATATATATTTTGGTGAACTTTAGGATTTGCATTTCATATTTTGATTTTCCTGAGCTAATAAATTGAACTATGCATTATCAGTTGAAAACTTCGCGTGCTCAGATTTAATTTCTCTGCCTTCCATTTTAGCTGACTAGTTAATCTGTTAATAATAGTAGAGAGAAGAGCTTGAAATTACAACTAGCAGCTTTGACTTCTGATTGTTCAGTGCATTTTTGTGATATGCCTTGGATTTAAACAAAGTGTTTAGATGCCTCTTTGAAATAGAACGTTGAGAATTTCCCACGCAGATCACATGGTGTAACTCCAAAACTGTAGTCACCTCAGATCAACGCTTTTTGAAAGTAAACATAAGTGTGGCTGAAGGGCTGTCTTTTTTCCTCGTGTCCTTGCCTGAAGTAGCTCTTAACAGATTCACCTCAGAGAGGCACTGGAGAAAGTTGCAAAACAACGATTTATGAGAATGGTATCAGAACTGAGAGCTCGTGCTTGTCCAAAAAAATTCAACCTGGCTCCTCCTCAGAAAAAGACATGGCTGGAGGAAGATAGGAAAGAGCTCTTAAAGGATATGAAAGGTTAGCTATAGAGTGCACGTGTCCACTTGCAGACAAGACTAGATCCTGGATGGTAAATGTAAGATAGTTCCTAATAATTCCAACAGAGAATTCAGGAAAATCTTTGGTAGAGCAAATCAGGGCAGGACTTATACACTTGATGGTAAGGTCCTGGGTAGTGTTGCCGAACAAAGAGACCTTGGGGTGCTGGTTAATGGTTCCTGAAAGTGGAGTTGCAGGTAGGCAAGGTAGTGAAGAAGGCATTTGGTACACTTGCCTTTGTTGGTCAGTACGCTGAGAAGAGGAGTTGGGAGGCCACGTGGCTGTACAAGACATTCGTTAGGCCACTTCCAGAATACTGCGTTCAATTCTGGTCTCCCTGCAATGGGAAAGATGCTATAAAACTTAAAAAGGTTCAGAGAAGATTTACAATCATGTTGGAGGGTTTGAGCTGTAGGGAGAGGCTGAATAGGCTGGGTCTACTCTTCCCTGGAGTGTCAGAAGCTGAGGGATTACCTTTATAGAAGGTTATAAAATTATGAGGGCCATGGATAGTGTGAATAGCCAAGATCTTTTCCCCAAGGTAGGGGAGTCTAAAACTAGAGGGCATAGGTTTAAGATGAGAGGAGAGAAATTTTAAAAAGGACCTGAGTAGTAACTTTTTCATGCAGAGGGCAGTGCGTATATGGAACGAGCTGCCCGAGGAGGTGGTGGAGGCTGGTACAATGACAACATTTAAAAGGCATCTGGATAGTATACAAACAGGAATGGTTTAGAGGGATATGGGCCAAATGCTGGCAAATAGGACTAGATTAATTTAGGATATCTGATCAACATGGACAAGTTGGAGTGAAGGGTCTGTTTTTGTGCTGTGCAACTCTGACATACATTAAGAACCAAATACAGAAAAAGATGGAGAAGATGCAGCAGGTCTAACCACATCTTTTAGGAGAGAAATAATTAACGTTTTGAATCTGATATGAAAGCGGTTGGAGAATGGTCTTTATACTTTTTGACCGGCAGAGGAGGGGCAAGGAGATCAGATGGTGGGAAGACTTGGTGCAAAAGACAAAGGGCTTATTAATTGAGGTGACAAAGAAATAGATGTAAATAAGGTGTGAAAGTGAATCTTTGGCTGAGAGTAAAGTAAATAAGAGCTGTGGGAGAAGAACAATGTAAGCAAAATGGAGGACTGATGTAGTCAGGCTGTGAAGTTGTGGAATTCAATTTTCAGTTCTAGAAGCTGTAAAGTGCCTACGGAGAAAAAGTGTTTCTTGAGTTTGCAATGCGCTTTGTTCAAATGTTGCAGCAGGCCCAGGATCAAAATGCTAGCATGAGGAATTTATGCTAGCATGAGGTTTATTGAATTGGCAGGCAACTGCAAGATCAGGGCTATTCCTACATACAGGAGAGGTGTTCTGCAATTCAGTCACTCAGTTTGCGTTTGGTCGTGCTAGTGTAAAGGAAACTGTGTTGTGAGCAGTGAACAAAATAAAGTAGATTGAACAAAGTACAAGTAAAATGCTGCTTCACCTGGAAGTTGTTTTTGGGGCCTTGGACAATAAGGAGGGAGAGGTGAATGCGCAAGTGTCAAACCTTTTGTGATTGCATGAGTATCTGCTATGGGGCTGTGAGGGAGTGATAGAGGAGTGGACCAGGCTGTCACAGAGGAATAGTTCCTGCAGAATGCTGACAGTAAAGGGCAGGAGAAGATGTGTTTGGTGACCTCCTGCTGGCGGCCAACAAAATGGCAGCGGTGATTCTTTGAGTGCAGAGTCTAATATGGTGGAAAGTAAGGACAAGGTAAACCCTGTCATTGTTCTGGGAAGGAGAGGAAAGGGTGAGGGTAGAAGTGTGGGAAATGGGTCAGCCATGGCTGAGGACCCTGTCAACCACTAGTCAGGGGAAGAGTCCTCAGATGAGGAGAAAGGAGGTCATGTTGGAGGCACCCCTAGTGGAAGGTGTCATCAGCAGGATAGATGTGTCAGTCATGGAGAAACTGGAAGGAATGAATAATATTCTTTATAGAAAGTCTAAGTGGAAGTATAGTCAATGGAACTGTGGGAATTGGTGAGCTTGTAATGGCTGGTGGTAGACAGCCTGTAAACAGAAGACGGGGAAGAGTTAGACGTTGACCAGAAGATGAGAGAAGAAGCAAAATTGGAAGCAAAACTGACAAATGTTTCCAGTTCCTTTGAGAGCCAGAAGCAGTACCGATGATGTAGTTGATGTACTAGGGAAAGAGATGTGGGGTGGGGGCCTGAGTAGAACTGGAACAGTAAATGTTCCACAGACCCCACAAAGAGGCAGGCATAGCTGGACTCATGTGGGTACCCATAGCCATACCCTTGTCTTGGAGAAAGTGTGAGGAGTTAAAGGAGAAGTTGTTCAAAGTGAAAATGAGCTCTGTCAAAGGAGGGTAGAGATGGATGGATTGTCATTCCAAGGAAAAAGCAGAGAGCCTTCAGACCGTCCTGGTGGTGGATGGACATGTGGAGGGATTGCACATCTGTGGTGAAGTGGGCGTAGCTAGGACCAGAAAACTGGAAACTGTGTAAAATGTAAAGCATCAAATGAATCATGAATGTAAGTGTGGAGGGACTGAAAAAGGGGAAAAATAGAGTCATGGTAGAAGAAGTAAGTTCAGTGGGGCAGGGACAGGCTGAAACAATGGGTCTGGCAAGGCAGTCCCACTTGTGATTTTGGAAGGAGGTAGAAGTGGGATGTGCAGGGTGGGTTGGAGGTCTATGACATGGAATGCTGTGGATGGGAGACTTCCAGAGGAGATGAGGTCAGTGACAATCCTGGAAATAACTGTCTGATGTTCAGTGGTGGGGACATAATCCTGGCAGTGCTGAGAACAACCATCTGAGACTTGGTGCTCAGCTGCTGTAAGGTAGAGGTCAGCATACCAGATGATGACCTAATTGCCAGGTTCAATAATGAATTCAGGGGTGGACCTGAGAGAACAAGTTGCAGCAAGTTCAGAAGGTGACAACTTGGAGTGTGTGAGGGGTGCAGAAAATTAGGGCAGCTGATGTCAATTGACAGTTCTCCATGAAGAGATCAAGTGCTTGTAAAAGACACTGAGGGAGGGGCCCAAGGGGAGGGAGAGTGGAGATGGCTGAAAAGTCTTTCTGGCCGGGAGAGGAGTCTTGTCCAAAGAAGTGGATATGGAGGCAAAGAAGATGAAAAAAAAGAGTTCGCCATTGTGTCATGTGCAAAATTCAATTCATTGAGGTGGGGGCGTAACGGGATAAAACTAAGTCCTTTGCTGAGCACATTGTTCAGCATCAGGGAAGGGAAGATCAGAGGGTATAGTGAATGCATAGCAAGAGGTGGGAGTAGATGAAGAGATGGAGTCAGGGAAGGGAAAATGAGGAAGGATCCAGGAGGATGTTGGTACCCTTGAGTATTTGGAGCTTGCGTTCCTTAACACTTGAAAGGAAGAGACAATGTTCGTTAAAGCAAAATACCGCGGATGCTGGAAATCTGAAATGAACACAGAAAATGCTGGAGAAACTCAGCAAGTCTGGCAGCATCTATGGTGAGAGAAACAGGGCTAATATTTCAAGTCTGATATGACTATTCAGAACTGAAAGTTTCTTGTTGAAGTGCTGTCTGAGCTACATTTCCTACTAAACATGCAGTGATAATCTCACCTTTGGACAATTTGCAGTTTTGATCTTGAATGTGGAGTGATGTAAGCATGGACATCCAAGGGTGTGATGAAGCTTAATTATTCTGGAGTAAAGGTGTGGTATAAAGCCATCTAATAGCATTTTGTCTGAAAGTTCTGACTGTACAGAATGAAGCATGTGTGTGTTGCTATTCCCTTGAAAGAGGGTTTGAAATTTTTTAAGAAGTTTCTTCGGTTGAAATTGTAGGGTTTGGAATTGTATCAAATGAGCCACAACATTCTGTAGAAATACTTGATGTGAGATTTAGAAACTTGCTCAAATCCAAATAAACCAAATGTAAGCCCACTGTTCCCAACAAGTGTCACATTTGTGTCCATTTTTGTCAGGACTACACTTTTATAAAGCACCTTGAGGCATTTATTTACTTAAAAGACGTTAGACAAATGTCAGATTCCAAATATGGAATTTCTCCGTACTTCATACAGAATAGATTGATGCTATGAATACCATGCATGTATAACAGAGAAAACATATCTTTTGAAGAATGCAGCACATCTTGAACGTTTTAGTGATAAGGTGGTGACACTTTATTCTCACAGTTCAAGGTCATTGTATCCTCTTGATGTACTATGTCCTCTACAAAATTTAATTTTTATGGTTAGCCTCTAGATTTTGAAGCGTAGAATTTCAGAACAAAGAATCATTCGGTCCATAATTCTTCATCTGGATTGCCTTGCACTTTTCCTCTTATTTCCCACCTTTATTTTGAATAATTATTAGAAAGTTAAAAGAGAAATGGCAGATGCACTTTCAAGGGAAATGCAAGAATAATATGTTTGCAGTGGGAAGTTAGATGTGGATTTTGTTCTAAATTAGATGGAATTGAATTGTTGGAACAAGTGAAGGATCTGGTGGTCTTGGTGGACAGGCCACTAAATCTATCAGCTCAATGTTTCCAACCTGTTAAATAATCAAGTTATGCATTATGCCACAAGAGGTGTGACATAGAAGACCATAAGATGAAGAAACAGAAGTAGGCCAGGGTAGTAGAATCTGCTCCACTATTTGAGATTATGGCTGAAGTGAAAATTCTCAACCTCCCCTTTCTGCCTTATCCCCATAATCCTTGATTCTCTTTATTGATTAAAAATCTGTTGACCTCCGGCTTGAATATACTTATCGATCCATCCTCCAACAGTCGTATGCAGTAAGGAATTCCACAGATTAACTATCTATGGACAAAAAAATCTCTGGTCTTAAATGGCAACCCCTTAGTCTGAGATTGTGTCTCTGGTCCTAGATCTCCCACAACAGGAAACAACCTCTCTGCATCTACCCTGTGAAGCCCCCTCATAATCTTTTATGTATTAATGTCTTCTTTCATTCTTTTGGACTCAAACTACCTAACCTTGCCTTGGAAGGAAATTCCACACCACCCAGAACCAACTGTGTGGACCTTCTCTTGACTATCCCCAATGCCAGCAAATCTCTCCTTAGATGAGGAGACCAAAACTGTTCACAGTATTTCAGATATGGTCTAACTAGTGCCTTGAATAGTTTTAGCATGACCTCCCTATTTTATTCTTCATTCCCTTTGAAATATTACACATACAGATTCAGGGGTGTCACGATTATAATGAGGTCAGCCAGATGCACCACACAAAATTGGAGTCTCCTGGTTGGGGCTGTTAATCTGGTCCAGTCAGGGAGCCCTGGCTGACAGATAAGAGCAGGCCGTGGGGCTCCAATTATGCCTGTCTCTTTTTGGGATGCAGGAACTTTTGTGTCCCAGTCCTACTCTGACCCCCATCCACAACTCTTTCTCCAGTACCATCGATGATATCATCGGTGCTGCTTCCCTCTCTCATTGGAATTGTAAAATTTTACCATTTTAACTTGTAATTTCCATCACCTTCACCTGGTCTATCTCTGATTCTTCCCTTCCCTTACTTGACCATTTGTTTCAGTTTTTGGAGATAGGTTGATATACACTACAAACTCACCAACTCCCACAGTTACCTTAACTATACATTCTTGCACTCTGCTTCCTGTAAGGACGCCTTCTCTGTCTCTACCACATCTGTTCTGATGATGCCACCTTTCGCAGGGATGGCCTCAGAAATGTCCACCTTTTTCTTTCCCAACCAAGGATTCCTTTCTGCTGTGTTCAACCCATCTCCCACACTTCTGCCCTCACTCTTTCCCTTCCCTCCCACAACATTGATAGGATCCCTCCGGTCATCACTTGCCATGCCACGAGCCTTCACATCCAAAGGATTATAAGTCGCCATTTCCATCACCTCCAACAGGATACCACAACCAGACACACGTTCCCCTCCCCTCCCTTGTCAGCATTGCGCAGGGACTGTTCCCTCCAGGACACTCTAGTACACTCCTCCTCCATTCCCAACACCTTCTCACACTCCCATGGCACCTCTCCGTGCAATTGCAGAAGGTGTAGCACCAACCCATTTACCTTCTCCCTCCTCCTCATCCAAGGCCCCAGGTGAAGCAGTGATTGCTCTGTACTTCATTCAATCTAGTCTATTATACTTGCTGCTCACAATGTGGCCTCCTGTACACTGGGGAGATGAAACACAGGCTGGGTGACCGCTTTGCAGAACACCTATGCTCTGTCTGTGAAAATCGAGTTCCCTGTTGCCTGTGACTTCAACACACCACTGCGTTCACAGCCAACACATCTGTCGCTGGCCTGCTGCAGTGTTCCAGCAAGCCTTCGTGCAGGCTCGAAGAACAACAATGCATTTTCTGCTTGGTGAGCCCTGCAGCCTCTGGGACACATCAAGTTCATTAACTTTACAGCCTGATTGCAAACCTCTTTTCTGCAACCCCACCCCACCCACAGTTCGGCTTCAGTATAAATACGAGTGTTTCAGGCGACCTCTGATGGAGAATCATGGGATTCGAAATGTTAACTCTGCTTTCTTCCTACAGATGCTGCCAGACCTGCTGAGTTTGTCCAGAAATTTCTATTTTTGCTTAAGCTAATATGTGGAACAGATTGTCAGTATGAGTTGTGAAGAAAAAAATTATGATGAGTTTCAAGGGGAAAGACTGGTTTTGTCAAAACAAGAGAGTTCTGTGTTATTTAAAATGCACAAAGAAAAGATTGTAAATTATTGGTCTGTGGGCCAAAGGTCATTTCAACCAGAAACTGCTCTATCACTTGTTTATGTAGCTTTCAAAATATAACAATGAAGTGTGTTGTGCACCATGGAATATTGTGCTCATCCCTTTTGCTACAGTTAGATTGCATGCTGAATTACTTTGACGGTGAAACTTTGACATTATTTAGCAATGGCTCAATCCATGACTGCCTAATGATTGAAATCCTTCAGGAACTTGGACAGCCTATACTTGTGCTTGTGAGGCTACCATCCTATGAAATCTCTTGACCCTGAAGTTGCTGATTTTTGCTTACTTTGTTTATAATTTAGAGTGGCTTCAACAAAATGTCTACTTTTTTTTTTGTTAAGGAATTGTCTCTTTCGTGCTCTCGGAGATCAGCTAGAAGGTCACTCTCGAAACCACCTAAAACACCGGAGGGAAACAGTGGACTTCATGATAAAACATCGTCAAGATTTTGAACCATTTGTTGAGGACGATGTCCCTTTTGATCGATATGGTGAGTCTTAATGTGATTGTCTCATTAACCCAAAGTATGAGCAAAAAAAGAGAGGTGATAGCAGAAGATTAACATTTGCCAAAGTTGTGGTATGGATGTGTTGCACGTGCTGTGCTATCAACATTACTCTGGTTCATACTCATTGTTAGCCTGGCGGTCCTACACCAGCTTCCTTCACCTGAGGTTATCAATAGACTTGGCTAGTTAGTCTAACATCTGTCATAGGGAAATTGCTAGAATTCATTATCAAGGAGGCTATAGCAGAAGGACATTTATAATGGGGTCAGGAAATATCAGACGTTTTTTTTATTTGCAAGGGAAATTGTGTTTACCTATTAGAGTTGTTTGTGGAAGTAACAAGCAAGGTGGTTAAGGAGGAACCTGCAGATCTGGTGCACTTGGATTTCCAAAGGCATTTGAAGATGGATGGTGCAGGCGGGTAATCTGTTGGCGTGGATAAAGGTTTTGTTAGTTAACATGAAGCACAGACGAGGAATAAATGGGTCTTTTTTAGGTTGGGGAAATTGCGACTGATGGAATGCTACAGACATCAGTGGAGAGGCACGAACAATTTGCAATCCATATCAAAGACATGGATGAAGGGACCAAAGGGGAGTCGATGGCCTAGTGATATTATCGCTGGACTGTTAACCTAGAGATCCAAATGATGTCTTGGGGACCTGGGTTTGAATCCTGCTATGGCAGATGTTGGAATTTGAATTCAATAAATATCTGGAATTAAGAGTCTAATGATGACTGTGAATCCATTGTCGATTGTTGGAAAAACCCATCTGGTTGACTAATGTCCTTTAGAGAAGGAAACTGCAATCCTTACCTGGTCTGGCCTACATGTGACTCCAGATCCATAGCAATGTGGTTGACTCTTACTGCCCTCTGGGCAATAAATGCTGCCTAGCCAGTGATGCCTGCATCTAGTGAATGAATAAAGAAAAAAAACAATGTATGGTAGCTAAATTTGCTGATGATTCCAATATAGGTAGGAGTGTAAATTGTCAGGAGGAACTGAAGAGTCTGCAATGGTAATAGGTAGTTTAAGCGAGTGGGCAAACATTTGGCAGATGGTATAATGTGGGAAAATGTAAATTCATCCCATTTAGCAATGTATTATTTGAACAGAAGGAAATTCACAGAACTCGGAGGTACAGAGAGATCTGGGTACTCTGATAACATGAATCACAAAAAAGGTTAGTATGCAGGTACAGCAAGTGATTAGGAAGACAAATAGAATATTTTGGCTCTTGCAAGAGGTTTGGGATATAAAAGGGCATTGGTGAGAGCACATCTGCTGTATTGCATACAATTTTAGTCTCCTTTATTTGAAAAAAAATTAAACTCCCATTATAAGTAGTTCAGGATCATCTTATGAAAGAAGTTTGAACAATTTGGGTCTGTACCCATTGGAGTTTAGAATAATGAGAGGTGATCTTATTAAAGCATGTAAGATCCTTAGGGGACTTGAAAGACTGAATACTGGGCAGATGTTCCTCATTCTGGAGAATTAGGGAACACAGCTTCAAAATAAGAGTTCTCCCTTTCAATATGGAAGTGAGGAGATTGCTTTCTTTCAGAAGGCCATTAATTTGTGGAATTTTGTTCCACAGAAAGCAATAGCATGGCTGTTGAATTTATTCAAGACTGACTTAAACAGATTTTTGATTTAAACCAAGGCTTTCTCTGCCATCTCAGATAGCACCCATGACTGCAGTGAAGCAGGGCAGGGAATTCTCCTGGTGTAAGGGAGTTTTTTTTTTGTTTTAACCGCATCATCGGTATTTATGTACAAATTGATTGCTGTATTTCTTTGTTTATAACAGTGAGGACATTTCAAGAGTATTTTATTGACCATGATGCACTTTGGAATAACCTGATGTTGCTATGTGATTCTGAAAACTGCACTGTTTGCTGGGGTGTCCAACTGTTTCTAGCAACATCTTTTGCGTGCAGTTGTGCTTAATAAGGTAGTAATTGCTGCAGCAAATGCTACCTCCTGGTACACTTCATGATCTTTCACCTATAGTCAACAGCATTTGCACTTATTTAGTGCCTTTTAAAAAGATGTCCCAAAGCCTGATGGTGGTGATAGGCAGATAAACAAGCAGCCAGAGTACAGGCATATGGAGAGATTTAATTAGAGGGATGCAAATTTTAAATTTTGAGGTGCTGGGGAATCGGCACTAATTGCAGATCGGTGAGGACTGATGTGATAGGTAACAGTGAAGATTGGTGTGAAATATACTGGTTCCTGTACCAACAAATCTCTAAACTGACACTGTTGAGACCACAGTATTAACTTACTTCAGATGGGGATAACATTTGCTGTATATTATGACTATTGCTTTCATATCTAATTTTCAGTTGCGAATCTGGAAAAGCCGGGCACATTTGTTGGCAATGATGTGATTGTCGCCTTCGCAAGGAACAACCAAGTGAATATTGTGATTCACCAGCTTAACGCCCCACTTTGGCAGGTAACATACAGTGCTGTGTAACAAATCACACTGAAGTGCCAAGCTAATATACGGTTTTTAGAGGATGTTGCATTGGAGACTCTAATTTCTCAATACCTTTGCTGGGAGTGATTTGCACAGAACATTTTCACATCACATTCTCTACTCGGCTTCCATCTTCAGTATTCTGCAGCATGCTTGTGGTATTCTATTAAAGACCTCAAATAAATATACAGAGTCAGAGTCCTATAGTATGGAGACAGGCCCTTTGGCTCAAACTAGTCCATGCCAATCAAAATGTCGATCCGCACTAACCCCATTTCCCTTCACACGGCTCATATCCTTCTAAACCTTTCCTATCCGTGTATTTGTCCAAATGCCTTTTAAATGTTGTTAATGTACCCACCTCAACTGCTTCTGCTGGCAACTCATTCCATGTGCATACCACCTTCTGTGTGCCCCTCAGGTTCCCATTTATTCTTTCCCCGCTTACCTTAAACTGATGCCCTGTAGTCCTCAATTCCCCAACCCTTCGAAAAAGACTAAGTGCGTTCACTTATCCATGCCTCTCATGATCTTATACACTCCTATAAGATCACCCCTCAGTCTGGTACACTCTAAAGAAAAAAGTCCTAGCTTGTCCAACCTTTCCCTATAACTCAGTCTCTTGATTCCTGGCAACATCCTTGTAAATTTCTTCTGCAGTCTTTCCAGTTTAATAATATCCTACCTATAGCAAGGTGACCAAAACTGAACACAGTACTCCAAATACAGCCTCACCAATGTCCCGCACAACTGCATCCTAACTTCCCAACTTCTATACTCGATGCCCTGACTGATAAAAGCCAGTGTGCCAAAAGCCACCTTCACTGCCCTGTTTACCTGTGACTCCACTTTCAGAGAACCGTGCACCTGAACTCCAAGGTCCCTCTGTTCCACTACACTCCTTAAGGCCCTCTCATTCACCATGAAACTCTTACCTGGATTTGACTTTCCAAAACGCTACACCTCACACTTATCTATATTAAACTCCACTTGCCATTTCTCAGCACACTTCCACAGCTAATCAACATCCTGTTGCAATTTTTGATAAGCTTCCTCACTGTCCACGATACCGCCTATTTTAGTGTCATCTGCAAATTTACTAATCATGTCTTGTACATTCTCATCCAAATCATTGATATAGGTAACAGCAAAGAGCCCAGCACTGATCCCTGAGGCACGCCACTAGTCACAGGCCTCCAGTCAGACAAGCATCCTTCTAACTATTACCCTTTGCTTTCTATCATCAAGCCGATTGTGTATCCAATTTGCCAGCTCTCCCTGGATTCCATGTGATCTAACCTTCCAGAACAGTCTACCATGTGAAACCTTATCGTAGGCCTTACTGAAATCCATGTAAACTACGTCTACAGCCCAGCCATCATCAATCTTCCTGGCCACTTCATCAAAGAACTCTGACAAATTTATGAGGCATGATCTCCCATGCACAAAGCCATGCTGATTACTCCTAATCAAACCCTGTCTTTCCAAATGCATGTATATATTATCCCACAGAATCTTCTCAAGTAACTTACCTACCACAAATGTTAGGCTTACTGGTTTTTCTTTGCAGCCCTTCTTGAACAATGTTAGCCACCTCACCCGTGGCTAACGATTATGCAAATATATCAGCGAGGGCCCCTGCAATTTCTTCTCTTGCAGGGTTCTCAGATATACCTGGTCAGGACCAGGAGATTTATCCACCTTCATACATTCTAATACGTCCATCACCACCTCTACTGTGATATGGACTGTCCCCAGGATATCGCCACTAACTTCCCCAAGTTCCTAAGTCTTCATGTCTTTCTCTACAGTAAACACAAGAGAAATATTCATTGAGGACCTTTCCCATCTCCTGCGGTTCCACACATACATGTCCACTTTGGTCTTTGAGGAGCCCTATTTTTCTCTCTAGTTGTTATTTTTCCTTTAATATACTTAAAGAATCTCTTTGGATTCACCCCAATGTTCTCCGCCAAAGCTATCTCGTGTCCCCATTTCACCTTCCTGATTTCCTCCTTCAGTAAACTCTTGTATCCCCAATATACGTCCAGAGATTCCCTTGATCCCAGCTGCCTGTACCTGAATCATGCCTCCTTTTTTCTGGTCAAAACCTCAATATCTCTTGTCATCCAGAGTTCCCTACTCCTGCCAACCTTGCCCTTCACCCTCAGAGGAACATATAGACCTTGAACTCTAGCTATCGCACTTTTAAAGGCCTCCCAATTGCCAGAGGTCCCTTTGCCTCCAAACAAACTACTCCAATTGACCCTTGCAAGCTCTTGTCTAATTCCATCAAAATTTGCCTTGCCCCAATTTAGAACTTGTGGATCAGTTTTGTCCCCCAGTATGACCATTTTAAAATTAATAGAACTATGGTCTCTGGTCCCAAAGTGCTCCCCACTGTCACCTCAGTCACCTGTCCTGCCCTATTTCCCAAGAGTAAGTTGAGTTTTGCCCCTTCCAGAACTTTCCTGAACACCCTAACAAATTCCAGTCTATCTAAGCCCTCAACACCATGGCAGCCCCAGTATATGTTAGGAAAATTAAAATCCCCTACTAATGACAACGCTATTGCTCCTCCAAGTCTCCCTGCATATTTGCTCCTCTAATTCCCATTCACTGTTTGGGGGGCCTATAGTACAACCCTAATAACGTCACAATCCCTTCGTATTTCCATCCACAAAACCTCAGTGGATGATCCCCCTCAGTTATTTCATCTGACTTCTGCTGTAATATTCCCCTTAATCAAATGCGACACCACCTCCCCTCTTGCCTCCACCTCTTTTCCACCTAAAGTTCCTGTACCCTGGTATATTAAGCTGCCAGTCCTGCCTCTCCCTTAGCCTGTTTCTGTAATGGCTATAATATCCCAGCCCCATGTACCTATCCACGCCCTGAGTTCACCGGCCTTACCTGTCAGCCGTCTTGCATTGAAATAGATGCAATTTAATCCATTAGGCATTCCTTGCACCCTACCATGTTCCAGCCTGACCTGTCTCTTCAACTTGCTATTTCTGATTTCTGTATCTCCTTCAGCCTCGCACTTTCCTCCCTGTTGTTGAGGATCTCACCCCCTTGCTAATCTAGTTTAAACCATTTCTTGTAGCACTAGCAAATCTGCCCACTAGGATATTGGTAGCCCTCCAGTTCAGATGCAACCCGTCCATCTTGAACAGTATAATGGTGGAATTCTGATGCAGAGTTTTAGATTTGCATCATGCATGTGGTTTGGTGTTTTCATATGATGTCCAGCCAGCAATGTTTCTGAAAGCTCATTATTACAAAATGTGACATTGTCAATTGACAGAGCCCGTGTGTCAGATGTTTATTGTCACATACTGGGGTGTAGCCATTTGATGGATGATTATTTTGCATCTGTTTTGTTGTTTTTGTGGTACCACTACCTTGGCTAAGAACTACTATTTACTAAAATTGCAATCCTTACATCTGGTTCTAAACTGCTGGTGACTCACAGGTATTTCTCATAAGCTGATTCCATACAAATCAAACTTGCCATGTCAAATTAAATTAACAGATTAATCATCCATCATGAACAATCAGGCAGCTCTTGCCTCTTGTGACATAACAACAAATCTAACTTCAAGGAGATGCAATCCCTTTGCCGTCCCAAGGTTCAGCAATTGCAAATACAGTAGAGTGAGCTTGGACAGTGAAGTAGGTGATTGCTGATGACACAAACTTTAAAATAGAGGAATTAAGATAGAGCAGGATCACAGCCCCATTCTCTTCTTATTTAATCAGGATTAGAGGGCACAAGGAATTAAATAAACAACTGATACATTTATACTTTTTGCAACTTACTGAAAGTAAATTAAATGAAACCAACTTTTCTGGGCTTTTTCCACTACCACATCCTAGAAGCAACAACAAACCTGCAAATCTGGAGGTGGGGTATTGGAAAGGGTATTATAATGGGCTAGGAGAGAAAAAATGTGAAGGTTTGGTGGAAATGTCTGTGCTATCCCATTTCTGCTGACATTCAGTGTCTGGCCTTGTGTGTTAAAGGATTGGGGAGTTACATGGATTCGTCACTTATGCTAATAGCAAAGAATTAGCACTTTCAGAGAAAGAAGAAAGGTTTAGCCAGAAGAAGTGAATGTGTGGCCAACATAAATCAAGCATTTACATGGAAGCTTGTGAAAAAGTACTTCTATGAAGCTAGGACTTCAGTGTCCGTCAACAAGAAATTTTTTGAGATTTGGTTTCTGTTCCTGGCCTATTGTTAACAGAAAATCGTAACTGTAAAACAAACCATACATCTCATGACTGTAAGCCTTCTATTCTGATGTATCTCTTTCCCCTACACCGCAAGGCCGTGGACCAGAAAGCAATTGAAGCAATTTATCGTTAATGTTTTTTTCAATTAATTCGTATGATGTGTGCATTTCTGGCCAGGCCAGCATCTATTGCTGCGTCCTGATAATCCTCGAAGGTGGAGTGAGCAGCCTTTTGAATTGCTGAAGTCCATCAGGTGCAGATGCACTGAGTGTTAGGGATTGAGTTCCTGCATTTTGACCCAGCGACAATGAAGGAACAGCGATATCTTTCCAAATCGGGAAGGTGTATGACTCGGAAGTGATCTTGCAAGCGGTGGGTGTTTCCAAGCACCTGCTGCCCTTGTGGTAGAAGTTGTGGGTTTGGAAGGTGATGTCTAAGGAACTTTGGTGATTTGTTGCAGTGCATTTTGTAGATCGTACACACTACTGCCACAGTGTGGCAGTAATGTGTTATAACATGCATTCATAAAGAATGAATGATTAATTTTTGTAACCAGACTCTCTCTCTCATGTTTACTTCTTGCAGTAAACTGCATTATTGGTGATTTTTAAAGTTTTTTTTTCCAGTGGTGGTTGTGCTGAAGAAGAGGAAAGATGTTAATCAATGCACAGTAGTGGAAAATATTCCTGCTTTGGGCATTCCATGTCAGTCTCCAGCACTTCAGGTCAAGGGAACACCAGATAGGACAGTGTGCTGCATTACTTACTCAGCCATTGGATGTATTTTCATGTCGACCAGGGATGATAGAGTCTTATCTACTTAACCAGTAGAGGTTGGGATTGGTTAGCTCAGTTGGCTGGACCACTGATTTGTGATACAGACTAACGTCAACAGCATGGGTTCAATTCCCACACCAGCTGAGGTTACCTTGAAGGTCCTTCCCTTCTCAACCTGCTCTGTTCCAGCCCCTTGTTTGGTCACTTTATGGTGATCCTTGGGTTAGACTCGCTACCAGTTGTCTCTATTGTGAGAAGAGCCTCTCATGTAGGACATGAGGTCCTCTCAGTCTGTAATGACTTTACTTACCAGTACAAGTGATGGTCCAGACGCTGCCGTAAATGGTCTAGGATTAACTTCAGAAACTGGGCCCCTGATTGTTTCGGATAATGTGGTGTAACTTGTTGCAAATTAGGGGAAACAATAGAATAATAGTCAAGTGACTAGCTGACAGGAGACCCAAGTTTGTGCCCTGCGGATGTGGATGCAACTCCCACATTTGCGGCTGGTAGCGTGTAAATTCAATTAATTCATAAAAATATGTAATTGTAAGCTAGTCTCAGTCATGATGATGATTTTCATTAAAACTCATCTGATTCACTGATGTCCTTTTTAGCAAGGGAAATCTGCTGTCCTTATCTACTCTGGCCCACATGTGACTCCTGGCCCATAGCAATATGACCGAGTCTGATCTGCCCTCAAATGGCCTCGCAAGTCACCCGTACAAGAGGGCAATTGAGATTGGGCAACAGATTCTGGCCTTGCCAGCGACAACCACATTCTATGAAAGTTTTTAAAGAAATCCTAAGCAGTCATCAAGAGGTACTAGACTGCTTTTACACAAGATTTCTGTGCAGCTGGCATTTGAAGTCTACATTTTCAGGTTCTGCAATATTCACATGGAGTAAATACCTAGGGCACTATCATTATAAGTTAAATGTGGCCTCTGTGTGTATGTGTTCTAGGTCACTCTTTGTCTTTAGTTCACTTGCACTGTTTTCATTGAATCTGATTGTGAGAAAAGGTTTCCTCTGTTTATAATTCCATTATACAAAACAAAAATCATGTGAAGAATATGCACAATGTAATGGAAATCTTATTCTGGCATATCAAATATCTCCTTTGTGATCATTATACAAATAACACACTTCTAAATAATTATTAGAACAGTAATGGTTAATCAATTTTTTTTTAATTCTGCAGGTTTTTGGAACCCGCAAGAGTAATGCTATAGAGCTGCACATTGCCTACAGATATGGGGAGCACTATGACAGTGTACGCATGCTCCATGATAATTCAGAAGCACCTGCAAACCTAAAGACAGAGGTTGGTGGACAAATGTGACTGTGTGCCATTTAACCCTTTTGAACACTTCCCCTTTATTTGGTTCATATCTTTTCCATGGGAAACATGCAATGTTAACACTGAGTAGTTAAATTCATTGGAAGTATCTGTAATCTGCATTCCAGTTCTTAGTCGGGAGGAAGAGACTGATTTGGATGTCAATAAGTTGCTTAGGAAACATTTTTGTATGAGTTTGCTTGTAAACTAACTTGCAAAGTCTTGCAGACATGGAGGTTTAATTCTTCTAATGTTGACTAGTTATGTTCAGAGAATCTGAACACAGTTCAGGATGAGGAGAGGCAAAGCATTGTTCTGATTTTTAACTTCAGTCTACTGTGAATTACAAGGCTAACTGAGAGTTCTAAAGAAATTTTGAGGCAACGTGCTGGAGGCCTGCTTCTCATTTTGCAGTGTTTTTTTTTTGTGTGGTGCGTGGTATTAATGTAGCACTTTTTATACAGCGAAAAGATTGGCACATCACCAGATCCACAGGAATTCATGTTTAATTATGACTCTCTCAGATGCTCATTAAAGATGAAGGAAAGAAGAAAGATCGAAACAAAATGAGTCCTTACCAGATGGAAGATATACGGGATTTTGAAAGGGAAGTGACCAAGACTGATTTGGACGATGCAATTCAGAAAGTACGCAATGCAACGGGGTGCATGGTAAGTAAGTGAAAATGGATTGGCCAGACTATTTTCAGCAAGCCTTACCTAATCTTGCAGTAAAGCCCATGAAGTAGGATTCCATCTGCTGGGATCAGGCTCTGTACTTACTAATTTGTATTCTTTCACGGGATGTAGGCATCATTGCCAGGCCAGGATTTATTGCCCATTGAGAAGATGCTCGTGAGTTATCTTCTTGACCTGCTGCAGTTTATGTGCTATAGATACATCTACAGTGCTGTTAGAAAGTGAGATCCAGAATTTTGATGCAACTACAGTGAATTAACAATATCAAGTGAAATCTTTCTTAATTAATTGTAAAGATGTAGTATCTATCTACTCAAATAATTTTTGATTTCTAACAGATTTGTAGTTTTCTATAAAACTGTTGTAATGGTGTCAGCTGTGTGACTTCACCTGACAAACCAGCAGTGCACTAAAAACTTGTGATTTCAAATAAACCTGTTGGATTATAATCTGGTGTCGTGTGACTTCTGACTTTGTCCATCCCAGTCCAACATTGGCACCTCCACACCATGGTTCTGTAATGAACCACCATAACTTGGATTGCTTGATCCAATGTTGTACTCAATTATACTGACCAGGAGTTTGTCGGTCAACTCAGCTGCAGTAATGTTGCTACAGTTGACCTTGATACTATTTGATTAGGGAGTGGGGGAGAATCTTCCAGGATTGGTGCTCCGTTCCATTCTTCGGAAACGTATACATACGTCTTCTGTGAGGACAAAATGGGTTTTCGTTGTGATAACAGCTGCAGTCAGACATCCAGTGTTTTCTTGCCTCATTAATGGCCAGAGGGTTGAGGTACAAGATGGTATGCAGTGCTCTTGGAGCCTTTATGTCAATGACAGTCAGTTCTCGAGAAAGATGACCCCAGAAAAATTGGGAAAGTGAAGAAGAGATTTTATTGTACAGTTAGTGTTCTCCTTGTTTTCCTGTAGGACACCGATGTGATTATTCAGAATCTGGAAGCTGAAAACTACAACATAGGGTCTGTAATATTTGCAATTTTGCAGACAGATGAACTGAAGAATAGCAGTGAGTTCCACACCTGAACATTTACATTTATTCTGTGTACAAGATTTTGTAAGTTCACTTCAACAAGAGAAGTTGAATTGCAGTGATTCTCTGACTGACATCTTATTTTTGTTATTGCTGTCTCTAAGACTTTCATTTTGGTATTCCAGATTCAATGTTGTTTTATACTGTAAACATCCAACTTGTCGAAGATTCTGAGCATAGCATTTGCTGCAGAAGTTTAGGCTTCCATTCATAGCATTAAATATATTTCTGAATTGTACTTAGGTGTGCAGTTTGGTTTATACAAGTTTCCAGACTGGTCCTAGTTTATATTTCCTTAAATAGTCCCAGAAAATAGCCTAGCTCCAGCCAAATAAAGATTACACCTTGTAAGAGAAGAGATTTGACAAGTTGCAATGGATGTAGCCTTCCCTGTTAGTCTAAGTAAATCGATTGTTCGGTAGAACAGAATCATATTTATTTGGGAGATCTTTAAAACATAATATAGGTCCAGAATATCACATCTTTTACATGATGCAGTTGAGATTCAGTCATTCTGTGTATTCACTGAAGCAGAACTGCTGTCTGTTGAATGATCTAGTTTCTGGCCTGAATGTGCATCATATTTAATTTCATTTTATTTTTGATTTAGATAGTGATGAAGATTCCAACAAAACCAGTTCTAATTGCAGCCCTCAGAACATGTCACCCCTGTGGATGGAGAATGGAACTGGTAACAGGATTTTTGGAAATCACACTGTCAACGCTGAAGAGTTTGAAAACAACAGGTGGCCTAATGACATAGAAGAAAACAAAAGGACCAAAAATAAGGTGTGTAAGGTCCATGTTAGATAGTATGATTAGGACAGATGAAAAGAGAGAGATCTACAAAGTGATCTGTGTCTACAGTGTAAGCACCTGAATGAATGGCTCCTTTATGTGATTCTGTGACTTGTGCCCTCCAGGTTCTCAGTGACTTGGACTCCTCCATGTTATAATGCAGAGTGGATTTTGCAGCACTGTAGAGACAGTGACATATGGGTAACTGTCCACTCCTAAGTCTTTCAGTTCATGGTTTGCAACATCATTTCTGGCTAGCATTCGTAGAATCCCTACAACGTGGAAGCAGGCCATTCAGCCCATTGAGTCCACACCAACCCTCCGAAGAGCATCCCACCCAGACCCACCACCCCCACTGTAACCCTGCATTTTCCACGGCTAATTCACTTAGCCTGTATATCCCTGGTCAATTTAGCACAGACAGTACACCTAACCTGCACATCTTTGGACTTTGAAACATTTATTTCCTAATGAATTCTAAAGAAACAATGGCAGAAAACCAAATCAACTTTTTGGGAGACAGTATTTACCTGCCAACACAGCCTTCAAATTTAATATGGCTATAAAAGATGTGCAGTAAGAAAGTGGAAATAGTGTAACTTTGTGTACATCTTTTTTCGCCTGTCTGTCCTGAAAACATTGATTCCTTACTGAATTTCAGTTCCCCAAGCAAAGAGTGTTCTCCCACACCCAAGTATTTTGCTCAAATGGCCAGTACTCAAGTTTTTCTCAACAATGAACTTTGGTAAGCTATTTGACTGCAAAGGGCATTCCCAAACTTGCCTTCCTTCGACTTCGAAATACTTACACTTCTAGTGTAGTCACTAGGTAATGGTTAATAAGAAGTAACACATACCTTCTGCATTCCTGAAGAAAGAAGAAGCAAATAATGGCAGCTAAACTGTTGCCCAGCTGAGATCAGTTTACTCAGCAAAGATGAGGGAGCAAACCTGGAAATTTTCTGATTTCAGATACTGGAGAAACTTGGGGCTACCAGGGAACTTCTAAAAGTACAACTTCAACATCATCTGTACTATTCTCTGAAGAAGCACTTAAGGAAATATTTTACTTAGTATAAAGATCATTCTTGAAATTCTCATTACAGAAAACAGTGAAATATTTACTAAGGATATTGGTTGTTAAAGTGGGTAGTATTTATCAATACAGCAACCTGATTTTGCTAGTCTGTTTGCATTTTAAAATTTTAGGTAACAAACAAGCAGCGAAAAGAACAGCAAAGGTTGGAAAAGAAGAAACGACAGGAGGAACGACACCGACAGAAGGTCCTAGAGAGCAAGAGCAATAATATGGAAGACAACGGGACCGATAGAGACTTTCAAGCACCAGTTACCCTAGTGAAAACATTTACAACTTTAAATATTTGATCTGTGGACAGCAGCCGGCAATCATCTGACATTGAATGGGTTTCATTAGTCTCCTGGGTGGGGGATAACAACATGGGAGATGGAGAGGTTATCTGATGCTGCTCTCGATTTAAGAAAATATTTGATTTCACATCTTTTTGAAGAACTTGTTTTGTTTGCAAACTTGCACATGGGCAAACAGGAAGAAATGGCCTAAAGGTGGAAGCAGTGGATTATTTGCATTTTACAAATGCAGTAAATCTTCAAAGAGTAACAAGTCAGAATTTAAATAAGCATTTGAAATGTATGTTTAGATGAATTAGCAGTAAATGGACTTACAGACAAGAAAGCTCTTTAATAATTGCAACATGGGTTAGAGGCTGGCTATAATATATATGTTTTAAGTTATCACATACTCCTAACACCTTCAATAATGATCATTACTGGAGGTGAAATATGAGGCCCTTTCTTTAGAAGCTGTATTATACACTGGCTTTTGCATATTGGACATTTCTAAAACCATCATTGGTATGGTGTACACGAGATGGTGTTTTCCTGTAGGCATCAGGAGGGGTAGGGCCATAAACACTTTTGGAAGTGAAGCTGTTCCTTTTTTTTTTAATCCTTGCCAGGACTTTATTTTTTAAGTAAAGAGTACAAATATGCTGCTAACCACCAAAAATGAAGGTTCCTTTCCATACAGAATGTGCTAACAACTTTATCTGAGTAGGCTCAATGGCTGTTAATCTAGTATAAAGCAAGTGGAAGAATTGCAACTTTTGATTAGCACCAGACGTTCCTATATCTAACTCATTAAAGCTTTGTCAGAGATATTTTTGGAGGTGACTTAAGTTAATTAATCTCCTGAATTTGTTTATTGAATTTCTACCTCTTGAGAATTTTCCTTGCTTGAAAGTAAGGAACCATTTGATTGTGGAAAGTGGTTCAGAATAGCCACTAAGTGTTTGAAACAGTAATTCTTACGGACAACAAAGTAAGACAGCTGGTCAGCCTATAATGCTTGTGTTTACTCTATTTTTCCTCTGTATATAAAATAATAAATATCTGTTCACCCCACTGAGAAACTAAGCTTATTAAACAATTTCTAAAAGTTTTATTTCTGTCACAATGATTTGGAATGAGTAAAACAACCTAAAAGTGGCCAGTTGTTATTTTCTTCAAACACAAACCAGTATGGATTGACAGTTGGCTTATATACCTCATTAGTGACTTATTTAATGTGTAACAGGTCAGAAATTGTTACTAAAAATCTATTCTTTTACAATTTTTTTTTTAAATTTTAAGTTGTGCATTTTGCATCAATGGTCACAGCATCCTGATTTGATCAGCCTGGTATCTCTGGTTGTTGGAGTTAGTGATTGAAATAGGATTCTGGGAGATATTCTGTTTTGAATGACCGTTCTATGGCTAACCAGTTGCTAAAACTGGGTATGATATGCTTTTGCCAATCCACCTACTGCTGTATGTTTATTAATGTCCTCAGGGCAGTGAAAAAAACTTAGTCGATGTGTGTCTCTACTCTCATGCTACTTGTCTGAATTTGATTGCCCTAGGGGCAATCAGAAGGGAATACATTCTGGCAAAATAAATCTTTGTTTACGGTTTTTCGAAGAAATTTAATCCCAAACATCCCAAATTTTAATTTTGCAGATGAAAAAAATTTGAATCAAAGGAATTTGTTTATTACAAGTTTTCATTCTAGTCTTTACAAAAGGTTATTGTTTTTAAATGTTAAAATTCACTTCTCTCAAAGCTACAAGAATGTTAAGACATAATAAATTTGGAACAAATTATGTTTGAGGTGTTAATTATTTGCTACAAATCCCAAACTGTTGTATATAGTGTTGGTTTAGTAATAGCAACTATTTTTAGGATGTTTTGATGCTGAACTGAGCTTTAAAACCCAGACCAAGTCCAACAGCCTACTAATTCTATCTCTGTGTGAAAGGGATCAGAAATTAAGAGGAGAGTTTAGATAGGAGCATGTGCATGCTTGGAACTTCTTTAGGGAGCTTTTTAATGGTGATAGAGTGTGAAAGCAAGAATGGAGTTTCCAGGGTGTAACAGATGATAGACACAGCCTCTATGTGACCAAAAAATCACAGCTCACTGTAAGTAAAGCAGCAGATCAGATTACCCAACATTACAGCCCAAAATTTAAACTGATTTTGAAGCCCGAACTCTTGAAGACTGGGTTATAGATGATCATTCAAATTACCATTATTTTCTTCTATAACTTACTACCATTCCTATAATACTCTATGTAGCTTACCACCAGCTCTTAACTACCTTCAGACTCTCAACTCTCACTTCGTGTAACAGTTAGAACAAGGTGAAGAGGGGTGCATTGGTTTTCGTCTTTTGTTTAAACCTGCAGCAAATATTTTTGTTCTTTTTAACATGCAGCTACTTTACACTTCAGTTAAAATGTTGTTCTAGTGAAAGTTAAGGAGCCAAATGGAAGGATGTTGTGAAACTCAAAGGGGTTCAGAAAAGATTCACAAAGATGTTGCCAGGCTTGGAGGGTTTGAGCTGTAGGGAGAGGCTGAATAGGCTGGGACTATTTCCCTGGAGCTTCGGAGGCTGAGGGATGATCTTTATACAGGTTTATAAAATCCATGAGGGGCACAGATACAGTGAATAGGCAAGGTCTTTCCCCTGGGGTGGGGGTGTCCAGAATGAGATAGCATAGGTGTGAGGTGCAAAATTTATAAGGGACCAAAGGGGTAACTTTTTCACACAATGGGTGATGCATGTATGGAATGAGCTACCAGAGGACATGGCGGAAGCTGGTACAGTTACAACATTTAGAGTCCTTACAGTATGGGAGCAGGCCATTTGGCTCATCAAGTCCACGCTGACCCTCTGAAGAGCATCCCATCACCACCACCACCACCCCACCAGTAACCCCGCATTTCCCATGGCTAATCTATTAGCCTGCACACTATGGGCAATTTAGCATAGCCAATCCACATAATGTGCACATGTTTGGATTGTGGCAGGAAACCCACGCAGACACTGGGAGAATGTGCAAACTCCACACAGTCACCCAAGGCCGGAATTGAACTTGGGTTGCTAGTGCTGTCTGGCAGCAGTGCTAACCATTGAGCCACTATGCCACCCTTTAAAAGACATCTAGATGGTTATATGAAAGGAAGGGTTTAGAGGGATATGGGCTAAAAGCTGGCAAATGGGTCTAATTAATTTAGGATATCTGGTCAGCGTGGACGTGTTGGACTGATTGGTCAGTTTCCATGCTGTACAGCTCTATGACTCTAATTACAAGGTTTCCTTGAGTGCTCTTATTGTTGACAGTAACTAACTGTTTGGACTTTATTACCTTCTTTATTTGTACCTTTATAGCTTCCCCCAAGCTCTCTGCTACTCTCTGAATAACTTATTGTGAGCTCTGTTGACCAATATAATGAACTGGAATAATAATTGCAATTTATATCAATTCTGTATGTGTGTGCTTCAGTAGGGAGGACCATGAAGGCCATTTCTGAGTTGTATGTGCATTTAGACTCTAAAGCTGACTGGCGAAGGAACCGCAAGTTGAACCTCCTAGCATTGTTTGCTGGTGGTGAAAGGCCAAGTGTTTGGACCTTAAGTGTTTGCTGTGCAGCTGCTGCTCACACTGGAAGAGTTTCTTGCCCATGTAGACCTGCTGTGATTCTTGAGGTAGCCTGAGCAGGTAACAACCTTGCTACAGAAGACTGACTTGAGGGATGACAAGCCTACAAAGCCACCCTCCCTGATATCTGCTCTAATTCTCATAGATGAAGAAACCAGGCTTTGAGTGCTTATCGTGGTTGGCCACCCAGTGATTGCAGCCTAGAAAGCATTTGTCACACACCTCAGTAGATGTGTTTTCTCTTGCAATGGATGCACCACGGAACCATAATGAAACCCTTGCTACATGCCAAGCAATGGAGAGAAGGGCTGTCACTTCATTGAAGGTGCTGGCCTACCTTTCAGGCTGTAGCAGTATATAATGACAGATCTTTGCTGCGTGTGCCAATCCAGAAAGGTGACCCGCTGCTCTGACTGGATTTTGATAAATACATGAGTTGAAGCCTTGATGTTGATCCCCTCATTTTGAATTCAATCATTTTTATCACTTCCTATCTCTTTAAAGGCTCAAAAAGTAACTATACTCATCAGCACATACTGTCTTTTATTTGTGGGTCTGTTATTCAGTTGAATGTAGGGTTGGTTTGTGATGCAGAATGAAGCAATCAGCATGGGTTCAATTCCTGCACCAGCTGATGTTACCATGAAGGTGCCTCCTTCTCAACCTCACCCCTCACCTGAGGCGTGGTGATCCTCAGATTCAACTCACCATTAGTCATCTCTTTTTAATGAGAGAGCAGCCCTATGGTCCTCTGAAACTATGGCAACTTAACTTTGTGGCGGATAAGAAAACCTTCACAATTAAAGTTAAAACTTTGAGTAATCCACCATATTGTTATTTCCAATGATTGACACCTTTCGCGGCCAAACTAATCAAGTCGTATTGGAGTGCTGAAGCTGGCGTTCCTGTCTGACAGTGACTGGACCAAACTACACGTTGCAGAAAATATTGAATTATGTTGTAGCAGCAGGATGAAATGTCATATTCCAGGCAAACTATTAATTGTGCTCTGCTCCAAAGTAACCAGTCAATAGCTTGATGAAGACAACAAGGTGCAGAGCTGGATGAACACAGCAGGCCAAGCAGCATCATAGGAGCAAAAAGGCTGACGTTTCGGGCCTAGACCCTTCATCAGAAAATCCTATGATGGTGCTTGGCCTGCTGTGTTCATCCAGCTCTGCACCTTGTTGTCTCAGATTCTCCACATCTGCAGTTCCTACTATCTCTGTAGCTTGATGAAACCTGTTTGTGTTCCAAATAAACACAGTCATAAATTACTTCCAGTTCTCTAATTTATGTGTAACACAGTGGGTATTAGGACTCAGAGGAATAAGAACACAATTTATTAGGCAGTCTCCGCAAGCAATGTGCAAGTATCCACGGTCTATTGCCCACTACTTATTGTAGCACATTCCCAAATTGAATTGAAACTTTAACAGTAACTTCTGATCATTAGTACTTCATTCTGCACCCTCATGGTACTGTTGCATTTACAGTGTGTGATAGATAAAACTAAACTAGCCATAGTCTCAGCAGACCAATAGGACTGGTGTCTCACTACAGAGACACACAACCAGTGGTGGTTTAACCTTGGGGTCACCACATCACGGGCAAGGGGCGAGGCTGAGAAGGAGAATCCTTCCTGGTAACCTTAGTTGATGTAGGAATTGAACCCACGCTGTTAGCGTCTCTCTGCATCGCAAACCAGCTGTCCAATCAACTGAGCTATTTGAATTATGTCTGTCCCATCATTGGCCAATCTTCTTAGCTTGACCTGGTCTTGAATATAGTAGGCCAAACTCATGACCATGAAAGATCGCATCCAGGTGCTTGGAGATACAAGATCCTAAATACTTTTCTTTAACAGGCACAAGAGTCCTACATCTTTCTCCGCTCTGTCACAGTCGCTTCCTACTGTTTCATGATTCATTCATTAACATGCTAATGATCTATAAAACTGTCCCTTCTATAACAGTTTGTCCCTTTTTGTTTGCAAACTCCATTAATAAGGTAGCATCAACAAACAATTAATATATCTGCTTAGAAAATGTAGTGACCTCCGAGACATTAACTATCACCCCACATTCCCCAAGTGATATGTCTTACAATTCTTATCACGATCCTTTAACTACAACAACCATCTATCACTCCACAACATCTGTTGATACCTGAAACAGATTAAAGCTCAAAATAACCAAACAAATGATTACACGGAGGCCAGTTACATATTTAAATTACAAAACCGAACCATTTTAAAACATGGCTTGAGTAAAAGAATTTTTCACATTTGTTGGCCTAAATTTATGTTTGCTTGAACCATAAAATATTAAAAAGACCATAAACCTTACTTTTGATGTGGTCGTGTGATGTTTTTCCATTCAGAAACTGTTTAACTAACCATAATTAAACAGGATGTAATTTAAATACTGAAACAAAAACAGACATTGCTGTAGAAACTCAGCAGGTCCGGCAGCATCTGTGGGAAGAAAGCAAAGTTATGTTACAAATCTGGTAACTCTTCATCAGGGCTGTTAGCAGTGTGGAAAAGGCTGTATTTATACTTAAGCCGAAGTGGGGGGGTGAGCAGATAAGTGGAAATGGAGTAAGAGGCAGAGAGATATGAAAAGGTTAGGTAAACAAGGAGATTAAGGACAGCAGGCCAGGACAGAAAAAAGGCTAAATAAATACTAAAAAGAGCTAATTTATTATATAATTTAATTCCTCACTTGTTTTATATTAATCATTGAAAAATAATTCAAACTTTACCTGTTGGTTTGACAAGCTCACCATCACTTTCTCAAGAGCAATTAGGGATGGGCAGTAAATGGCAGTCTTATAAGGGATGCTTGCATCCCAAGAACAAATAAAAGATAACTGCTACTGGGACACATCATATAGTAATCAGGAATTGGAAGCCTGGCTGCTTTTTCCTTAGTCCAGAGCCAAGTAACCAGACGCTGCTAATATTTAGCTGCTTTTCTTTCCTTCTTCATTGCTGTGATTGAAAGTAGTTGTGCAGCCTGAAACTTTAATAACAATGTTTGAGAGAAAATCCTGTATCCCAAGAAGCTTAGTATAGCCTGATTCCAGATCCTATGATTACAACAATTAGTAGTTATATTCCTACTGTATTTTAATGTGGTCAAACTTCTCAACATGTTTTGCAGGAGTGCAGTCAGGGAAAAAAAGGACATTGAGCCAGAAGACAGGAGAACAAAGAGAATCTTAAACAGGGAAAGAGAGTCAGAGGGCTTTCAAAGCCTGTGGTCTGGTCAAATGAAGGCATAATGCCAATCATAGGATATGTGGATTTGCTGAAGAGGTCAGAGTTGGAAAAATGCAAAGATCTCAAAGTGTTGTACAGCTGGAGGAGCTTAACAATAGGGGACAAGGAAGCCAAGAAGGGATTTAAACACTGATTGAGAATTTTAGAATTAGGGTATTGCTGGACTGAGAATCAATAAATTTAAGCCAACACTAGGGTGATGGGTCTCAATGCAAGTTAAGATAAGGCCAGCAAGTATTTAGTTTTTGGAGAATGGATGGTGGGAGAGTGGCCAAGAGAGTAATGGAATTGCCATGTCTGGGTTTAACAATAGCTTTTCATTTCAGCTTCACGTGAGCCAAAGCAGGGCCGGAGATGGGCAACACCACAAACCAAACCATGGACAGGATATGGAGGCAGATATCAATTCAGGGTTAAATAGGCCACTTAAGTGGTGAGCTGTCTGGACTGGCCTAAACAGTGACCCAGGAGAGTCACTAGCATTTTCTGTGGGGACAAAAGACTATTCTTTCAATGTTTAATTAGAGGAATTTTTGGCTCACCCAGGACCTGATATTGGCCAAGCAGACTGACAGTGCAGATAATCAGCACTGGCCTAATTCTTATAAGTCTTGCATTGTATACATATTTCCCCATTACAGCCTATACATTTATCTTTTAAATTATCCCTTAACTGCCCCAATAAACAATTTATTTGTCTTGGGAAATGAGTGTCATTGGCTAGGCTGGCATTTATTGTCCATCCCGAAGTGACACTGAGAAGAAGGTTGTGAGCCACCCTCTTGAACCGTTGCAGTCCTTGAGGTGAAGGTACACCTAGAGTGCTGCTGGGGAGGGAGTTCCAGAATTTTGATGCAGTGACAGTGAAAGAACAGAGTTATAGTTCCAGGTTAGGGTGGTATAGGCTTGGAAGGAAACTTGAGTATTGTCATCTTACCTTCTACTATTCAGCTAGGCACATAGGTTTGGCGTTACCAGCAAATGTTAAACTATTAGGTTGACAAATACCAACAGCATTGCCTCCTCGATATCCTGTAAATCCAATAATACAATATATGCTCCATTGTTAGTCTCCTCTTTCAGGCCAACATCCCCAGCATAGAGGCATAAGTTATGATCAATCAGTTGCATTGGGCAGGCCACAGAGTCATGTTTGCCATTAGACATGCAAAGCTAGCTCTCTACTCGGGTTTTGCCACAGCAAGCAGTTACTAGGAAGGCACAGGATGCTCTCAAAACTCTGAAAGAATGCAGCATTGCCATCGTATCATGTGAACCTCTCTCCCAACGCTACCCAAACAGGAGAAGAAACATACGCGAAGGTGCCATCCATTTTAAGTGTCTCCGACTGGCCCAGATGGAGGTCAAGCAGAAACAGCAAAAGGAGTGTGCAAGGATTCAAAAATACCAATCTCCCCCCTCAACAAACACAACTTATCCCACCCATAGTAAGCTGTGCGGATCCAGCTAATAAGTCACATCAGGACACATCGCCCCAGAAAAATGTCATCCTCAGTCTTCAGGGACTGCCTTCTCTGATAGTCTCCACAGTGGTCTCACTGCTTTCACACAAACTAATAGTAGTATTTGAAATTAAGTGATGAATTCTGGCAACAAACTTCCAGAGGCAAACTGCCCTGACCGCAAAACCTGGAAACCCAAAATGTAAAAAATCAGCCTTTATTTAATGCAATGTTACCTGAACTGAAATGTTAATCGAGTGATTGGCAAAATAATACTAGTGAACAGATTGAAAGTTGGAACAAGATACACGGAAGCTAACTGGGATACAGGTTACTGCAATTCGAGAAAGTGACACAGACAGGCAGATAGAAATCAAGTAGAGAGACACAGATCAATGAGGGAAGAAGGGGTTACAAAGACCAACTGATGAGGATAATGACTGGTCTAAGGCTCAAATACTTGCTTTCATTTTATGAGTGTAGTTACTGACAAAGAAAGTGTTAAATGCAGGAGGAAAAATATTTAAAATTATTGTTCCATATGGAATTTCTGAAATTCATGGTAGCACCAAAATTGTTTAATCTTTTTCTAATGCTGGGAAGTTATATTACAGCTCCTGTCAGCTCCACTATTAGTGCTGGTCTGAACCAATGGGTATAATTACCAAGTGTAATTGGAAGAGCCCAAGAAGCCTGACTTGTATTTACTCTTATGGAGAAGGTCACTTTCTTGTTCTATACTCAATTAAAAAGAACCGATAAGGAAGGGATCATTTTCAATCAAAAATTCATGTCATTTAAGAGCTCTTTTATATAAAAAAAATTAATGGGCATGTGAATATCTCTGGCAAAGCCAGCACTTTGATTGCCTGTCCTTTTCAGAAGTGTTCGTGAATTACCTTCCTGATCTGCTGCAGTCCAATGTGGTGAAAGTACTCCCACGGTACTGTTTCTGGGATTTTATCCCAATTCTTTGATAACTTAACAGGAAGGAGCCAGGCACTATCATGGCAATTGGGCTGATGTGTCAGATCACTGCATTCTATCCTTTGGCAGATATTTAATCAGATCTCAGACTATATGCCAACAGTGAGTGACAATAACAACTTGGATTTATATGACACCCTTTACATAGTAAAATGCCCCAAGGTGTTTTACAGGAGTTTATCAAACTTTGACACTGAACCATGTAAGGAGATATTAAGCCAGATGACCAAAAACTTGGTTAAACTTGTAAGTTGGGAGGAAATAACGAATGAAAGATGGAGATGGGTAGGCAAGAATACAAATTTTAGAAAACATATTAAAACCATGGATGTTCAAGACACCAGGATTGGAGGAGGACTGAGATCGGAGGAGGGAAATGGTGACAATCCATCTTCACAAATTCCGAGTCCTTCTACATTTGGAAATAAGGTTGGATAGACCTGGGGTGGCATGGTGGCTCAGTGCTTAGCACGGCTACTTCACAGTGACAAGGATCTGGGTTCAATTCAACCCTGGGTGACTGTCTGTCTGGAGTTTGGACATTCTCCCCATGTTTGCTTGGGTTTCCTCCCACAGTCCTAAACTTTGCAGGTTAGGTGACTGGACATGTTAAATTGCCCATCATGTCCGAGGGGTGGTGCTGTGCAGGCTAGGAGGATTAGTCATGGGAATTGCAGGGTTGTAGCGGGTTAGGTTGAGGTGGCCTTGAAGGATTGGTGTGGACTCTATAGATCAAATGGTCCGCTTCGACACTGTAGGAAGGCTTCTGTTGTTTCACTGGCCCATGCTGCCCAGTAGGAGTTAGTATTCCAGATTTGGACTTGCAGGCCCCAATCCTAATGTCCCATTCTGTTGCAGACCTGGTTTTTGAGTATTTTGCCACAGCATTCTTCAGGCTAGCTTCAGTCTAATGAAAGACCATGTGCTGCCAGACCTGCTGAGTATATTCCAACATTTTCTGTTTTAAGTCTGTGTCACCTTGTTCCAGACACGACCATCCGAAGTCCGGGGAGGTGAAACTAAGAGTCACAGATTCTTCGCTTCAGCCTCCTGGGCCACGCAGCAGAACCAGTCAAGTCTGGATGAAAGTTTGTTGGGCGTGACCCTGAATACAGATAGCGCCCCACCAACCGCTCAGTACTCCGTTCAGCCTGTGTCATTGACACAGAGCAATAACCCTGAAAGAATTTCAATTAGCAGCACCAACCGCTGCTGAACTGAGTCAGTTAGAACTTATCAAGTCAAGATATAAACTCATTAAACTAGTTACACATTACATGCGATACAACCCTCAGGCGAATTGTGCAATGAAACTTTTGAGCTGAAAGAAGCTGTGAATGACCTCCTGTAAAGCTATAAATATACCGAGAGCCTCAGACAGAAGGAGTCTTAAGGAACCTCGACTCTGCTTTTGAGTGTTGGGTTTGAGACTATCCGTCTCCAGAGCAAGGATGGACAAAATGATGAGTAGAAGTGCCCCAGCAACAGAGCAAGACTGCCCCATCTGCTTTAACAAGTACGATTCTTTCGTTCGAAAACCCAAGCTCTTGGCATGCCAGCACTGTTTCTGTGCAATCTGCCTGAAGATCATGGTGTCAGTCGAGGATGGCTCCTGGGTCGTCACCTGCCCTCTCTGCAGACGCTCCACGCTAGTGATGGAAGCACTGATCAGCAATCTCCCGGATAATCCGCGCCTGATGGGCATTCTGTCCAGGAGGATGTCCGCCTTCCCTGAGTCAGTGCCCGAGGTACTGCTGTCTCCACACCTCCTGCTGCAGACCCACACTAGCACTTGCACTCTCGTCAGCCCGGTCCCCAGTCAGCCAGACAACGAGAACGCGCACTTTAGGAATCGGATAACCACATCAGTCATCAGACGCTTTCTCCTGACCATGATCTTCTCCTTGGTCATTTTGTTTGCACTGCAGTATTTCTTCAAAAACCCGGCTCTGACCTGGATTCTGATCGTCCTTACTGTCCTCTGTGCATTGACGGGGCTGTGCCTTCTATATTTCGGTTGTCAGAGGGGCCGGAACGGGCCAGCCACAGCATATTGCAACTGTCTGCCCATGAACGACTAATCAAATGCAACAACTTCAATGCTAACAATGTAACAGTTCGAAAGTAACATATCGGAGCTTTGAGATCACAATTCATACGCCTTAATGCAGCAACAAAATGGCAGTTTCGTTGCGGGACAAATACATCGCCTGATAGGACTGGGAACTGGGCCATAAGTTCAATGCCATTTTGAGCTATGGGTGAAGATTTTTATTTGAACCGCTTAGTATTATGTTGTCAGCCTGTTAGTTTTATTAGTGAACCCACTTTTAATGGGGTTGTAATGTGCCTTTCGTTGATCTGCTGGTGCCTACCAGTCGCTTGTCTCAGCAAAATAGGACAAGAGTGTGTATTTGTTGTATGTGTTGAACTTCAGTTGAAAAAAAGTTTTAAATCAAAGACTTCATGTGTTTTTCCACAGTGCAATGAACAGGCGAACTGGTCATTCATGCAAGAATCTATTCTGTAATAAACTGAAATGTACATTTTATAGGTAACAAAGGAAGTAAGCTGAGTCAGTGGAGGTCTGCATTTATGTGATTGTCTGTAACCTGGAACGTTTTACATCAAGAGATACCAAATAAATTGATTTTTTTTCTATCCACATTTTTATTTTATTCACCTGTCAACTCATGTATTTCCTATAAAGCTTCAAACACTCTGACTGGTCATGTTAGTGTATCTCGTATTGGAAGGGTACAGCTGTCTAATGTTGATCTGTCCAATTCTTTTACTTCAATTCTGCAGCCCAGGAATTGATAATTCAACCAAACCAGTCTATTAATGCTTCATACTGTACCAGGTTTCTTTTCATCCTCCCACATCTACCACAATTGGCAAAGCCTTCTTTACTTTCTTCTCTCTTGTGTATATTGAGCAACCCAGAAAATATATCTCTGCTGTTCCCCTCAGTTACTCCTTGTGGTAGTGATTTCCACATTATTGCCAACCATGCTTACTAAGTATATTGTAACTGTGGATGAGACGTTCTGTTACACAGCTCGGACTACCTTAAGTTTTAAAATTTAAGTGTTTTAAAATACTTTGATCTGTTGCTTCATGGATTATGTTTAGATCTGTTTATTTCACTAGTTCTACAAACTCTTTACACGTGTTAATGCTAAATCCAACAATTCCATTTCTTACGAGATTTCATCGATAAATTTGACCTATTTCCAAGTAAACATTACACACTAAAACTCTCAATGTTTTAAAACCCAGCCAAATTACAGATTGATTCACAATATTCAATATTTTCTGCTGGATTACAATTTTTCTGATTAAAAGAACTGGATTAATTTGCAGATATGTTGCATTTCTCAGCCAGTCTGAAAACCTCTCTCACCCATTCATTTATCACTTCCAGGCTTGAGTAATCCGGTACCATCCACCTGCTGGCTACCATTCATCTTTCATAAACTTCAGCTCATTCAAAAGTCTGTTGTCCATGTTCCAACTTGCACTGAGTCCCATTCATCCATCACTCCTGTGCTCACTGACCTCTGGTCTGCTCTGGCAACATCTTGGTATCAAATCTCTCATTTTTAAATTACTCTGTGGTCCTATTCCATCCTTATTCTAAAACTTTCTTCAGCCATACAATCCTCTGGGATCTCTGCACTCTTGCAATTCTGACCTCTTACATACCCCCGGTATTAATTGTTCCACCAATGGTGGCTGTGCCTTCAGCAACCTAGATCCTAAGCTCCAGAATTTCTTCCCTTAACCTCTATTTCTAACCTGTTTTGAGTTATTCTTCAAAACCTTCCTTTTTAGCTAAGCTTTTAACCACCTTTCCCAGAATCCTTATGTGGTTTGGTGCCAAATTCTCTTAGATAATACCCCCGTGAAGTGCCTTCAGGCATCTGTTACATTAAAAGCACAATATAAATGCAAGTTGGTGCTTTCGATACCGACCATATGTAAGTCTGGTTAAATTAACAGTGAAGGTCCTGTTCTCTGAAATGCTTTTAGAGTAAAAACCTCAGAAGAAGGCCCAGAATATATACATCACCCACATTGAAAATATTAAAAACGGATATTAAAGCAAATGAAGAGGGGGTGAATAAACAATGTCAAAAATTGGATTTTAAATTCCTCCACATTGTAGGAGTGAAAGGAAGATGTGGTGAAGAAGAGTTTCACAATTTATCCAGACAAATAATTAGTTGGGAGTTGGTGAGGATGCCCTAAATCATTATTTTAACAGAATGCATGAAGAGGATGACGTATAGGACAGAATTTTGAGCTTAGAAACAATGAGTGAAAATTCAATAGGGTTAGGATAATTGATTATAGTAATAGTGACAAAGTAGACAAAGACAAAACAGAGAAGTTAGAGGTGGCACGGTGGCTCAGTGGCTGGCACTGCTGTCTTACAGCACTAGGGACCTGGGTTTGGTTCCAGCCTCGGCTGACTGTCTATGTGGAGTTTGTACATTCTCCCTATGTCTGTATGGGTTTCTTCCAGATGCTCTGGTTTCCTCCCACAATCCCAAGATGTGCAAGTTAGTTGGATTGCCATGCTAAATTACTCATTGTGTGCAGGCTAGGTGGATTAGCCATGGGGAATGCAGGGTTATAGGATAGGGTCTCGGTGGAATGCTCTTTGGAGGGTTGGTGTAGACTTGATGGGCCAAATGGCCTGCTTCTAAACTGTAGGGATTCTATGAAGTTGGAGCTGGTTGTGTAATAGACTGTCAAATGATGACTTTTTTATGATATACTACTTAGGAGTGAGGGGGCTGGGAGATTCCTCTCAATACAGATATGGACCAAATACAGGCAAATGGGACTAGTTCAGTTTAGGAAACCTGGTTGACAGCGAATAGTTGGGCTGATGGTCTGTTTCTGTGCTGTGTGACTATTTGACTCTATATGGAATCAATATTCAAGTTTTGGGATAGACTTGGTCTCAAAAAAATTAGAAGTTACTAAGTAAAAAGGTTGTGCTTGGCATTGAGATGAAAGAGGCAATGTAGCTTTGTGGAAGCTTTCTTTGCGATGGGTATTTTGGATTTCTAATTGTGGTTAGAAGAGATAATGACATCAGAGATATTTAAGGACCAAGGGTGGAACCATGGAAGGTCAGGGATGGAAGTCATTAGTTAGTATTGTGAGAAATTTTCACTATTCCATTGAAGGATATTGGGGAAATGAAGACATAGCGATTTACATATTGTACTGTAAGAGGACTGCTATTGGTGAAGACAGAGGATTTGAAATGTCAATTTGATAAATATAGTGGATTTAGTTGGATGATGAGTGGACTTTTTTATCCATTGCCACTTGATGGCGCTGTTTACTAGTTAGTAAATCAGAGGTGGAGTGGTCAGCACGGTTCCTTTATTGTGGTTTACACAGTCACAAACAGCTTTTTTACTGATATTAATCATAGTTAAAAATGCATTCTTCTACTCACCAGGGATGACGCCACATTTGAACATTCCACCAACACATGATAAATGCTCTCTTCTTACTGATGCCTTTTCGACCCAATCCCAGACAGAGGTAGCTATTGTTGAAAGGAGTCATTAAAAATATGAAATATACGAAATACATGAACAGGGTCGGTCAATCCTTGATCCAAGCAGCAATGCAGTTTACATAAAAATATTTATATCTAGCTTCTATTGTTTAAATTTGAAATAGCCAGGTAACATTTTTTAATCATTTTTGGAATTCAGTCAGAGCAAATTAACTGTTTGCATCTGTAGGCTTACATTGGATCTATAGTTTTTGTTTACTGTGTTACACCAAAATGATTGCACACAGCTGCATTGTAATCTGTCTTTCTTCTTTATGTAACGTCCTTCAGTTCCACCACTGTCTCAGATATCTGTGCTCCTCTTAAGCATCACCAACTTTGTAACTGTTCCACCCCCTGGTAGCTAGCTGTTCCTTCAGTTGTTTAGGCCCTAAGCTCTGGAATTCACTTACAAAACCTATTTGCCTCTCCCTTGCTTCCCTCCTTTAAAGGGCTCATTAAAAGCTACTTCTTTGGCCCAGCATGTGGTAATTTGATGCAATATCTCCCTATGTCACTCATTTTTATTTTATGTTCTTTAATAGTTAATACCCCTGTAATGTACCTGTAAATATATCATCATATTAAAGGTGCAACATAAATGCAAGATGTTCCTGTTGTCTGAAGATTGCTTGTAGATTGCAGGTTCCTGGTTCCCCCATCTCGTGTTCGTGGACATAAGCCGCTCTATTACCCAGGTCCTAATTGTGAAAGGCTGAGCCATCAGCACGACAGGGCAGAATGATTGGAAGATGTGGATAATCAGTTTCAGGTCATGCCCTGTGAGCCATGAAAGCACCACTTCCCAGTCTGCTCGTTTTCCTATTTCACAGTAAAATGTGGAACTTGCTATATTCAAAATTATTCATGGCATTCAAGTGTAAATTCTTTGTTTAATCGGTCCAATTTATCTTCTGAAGATTGATAGAAGACTTCACTCAAGTTGATGAGGTGAATATTATATGTCATTCTCATCAGGAATGTCCTTAATTGGTCTCTGAAGACATCAATTATTACTGTAATTCATTACTGAACACTAAAGGAATTGATGAATAAATATATGTTTTAGGCTTTGCAGTTAAAATAAGTTCAAAAAGGATATCAGTTTGGTTCATTTGTAGCACTTTCAAAATCAGAAGGTTTAAGCCTTACTCCTAAACATACTCCTGATCACATATACTAATCAGCTGACACTGGTCATTCACAGTTACTTTTACTGATACCAGCATTAATATTAAAAGTATTTTAAAAATTATATCAAATTCTCAAACTGTCAAGATGAGGTAATTACTTTTTGCATCTTGGTGAAGCTGTGTTGGTGAATTAGTTATGGCTCAAAAGTTCTTTTCAATGGGATATCCAAAACTGCATATCATACTTAAACTAAAGCTTAACACTGGTCTTGCATGAACTTTACTTTGATACTGGTTCCCTACAGGTTCTATTTACAAAATCCCAAATGCTTGCTGGCCTTTTCAAGAAATTAGGAACCTATATTCACATGTTCAGAAAATGGATCCAAATCCCTCAGTCTCTGCATTCCTCAACCCTTCTGCTTCTCCCAATTGAAAGTATATTTTAAAAACTTGCATTTATAAGGTGCCTTTCAAAACCATGTGATATATTCACCAACATTGCCTTTCTTCCCCAAATGCTTCTTCCCTGTATGTCACCCAACTTCAAATCCTGCTAAACTGCCTACGTCCGCTTGAAATGTTTTATAGCTCTTATTTTTGTCAACTCCCCGTTTGTGGCATCAGCTACTTTTGTTATTTCATTCTTCATGCCTAAGTCCAAATCACATAATGTATTATATAAAGAAGCATGTGCATGTAAATGGTCACCAATTTGATCACAGATTACAGATTTTAATATCCAGAATTGAGATAGGTTAGTTGTTCCATAGTTAATTCTCTTTTTTGATCAGAAATGTAATATTGACTACCTTCGAGTGATAAAATATGATAATAAATACATATTCCTTTTATGTCCCCTTTCTTATGGAACTATATCCCTCTGTTATTCAATTGAGTATGTTTTGATTGAGGAAAGAATCGTGATCAGATTGCTATTT